CTGTCAGGGACAGGCTGAAATCGCAGGGCCCCAGTTCTGCGGCCTCTGTCGAACTTCAAGACAGCAGATTCCCGCAAGTTGGGCATGCCGAGCCCAGAAATAACGGCTACACCGTTACAAAACTGCTAGCAACCCTCCTCAACACTGGAGGGGTCTTAGTGGATTTCCCGGACCATAGTGCTTAAAAGCGCTTCAGTTCGGAAAGTCCCTCAACTGATATCAGTTCTCACGATTCCTCTTGTAAGGGAGCCGAATTCAATGCCTTTGAAACCTGCAAGCTACTGAAGCTTGCAAAGTGAAAGGATTCTTGAAAGGATTCTATGGCTTTAGTGCTTTCATCAAGCAGTGCGGTCACTAGCAGGGCGGTGTGTGTTTTTTGTCCGCTCTTCTCCAATCTTTCCACTTCCAGCAAATGCACTTTGTCGCTTTCTAAAAAAGCTCGCAGGTAGCTAAGTCTTGTTCTGACAAACAGCATCCTTTCCAGTCCTCAATCCTCAGGTCAAATGAATATAGTAGAGACAACGGCCTCGAGGGCCATGTGATCTGTATCTGTATGAGTATATAGTATTATGATGAAGTGGAGATGGCAAAACAAAACTCGTCTGGATTTGTTGAGAATGTGAAAAAAATCCTTAGCCTTAGCCATGTGTCCATCCGAAGCCTGTTGATGCTGCTCTCACCACCTCTATATGCTTGAGTCCTCTGGGTGCTGGTCGTCATGACATTTTGCTACACAAACAAGCAATCCGCCGGAGCCCCCAAGACCCTTCACCGCATGGTGTCAAAACATGGTGGAGCAAAACTTGATGCCACAAAGCTGCAGAATCTCTCTTCACCGCATCATATGCTTTAGCTGCTTCATCAGCATCCACAAGCATGGACTGCGCGATCTGCTGTCGCCAGTCCCATCGTTTCTGAGCTGGAACCTGCAGGTGATATCATGGACCTCCAATCATGTGATGTCCCTCTCAATTTCTTGTGCAAGGTCCAACATCATCTCTGATGCAAGTAGTGCAAATGAGTGTCAGATCAGTCTCTCTGCATTTTGCCAGCCTTCACAGAGGGAGAAATAGTCACAGAGCGTCCTTGGGTCGAGGAGTCATACTTCTTCCGCACCCTGCCATTGTCAGCGTACAGGATGTCAACAACAGCACCCACGCGCTTCGGCCAATGCCTCAGACACTAACCTATGGCTATGGCGTATGTCAGTGTACCTCACAAGCCTAAAATAGATTCAGAGACCCCAGCATAACATCAAAGAAAGCCACCTTGACCATGTCCCAGTCGTGGGGAGTGCTTCATCCCCAATAAAGTGGTTCGCTTACCTGCTGCCTTATAGTTGTAGGACTGTAGGAAAGCTTGAGGATACTTGCAAAGAGGGAAAAATTAAAAGATCCTGTGTCCAAGCCACTCAGCTGCCATACGCTGCAGGCAGCATAAACGGCGGTTGTCCAATGTATACCAGCTTTTCATCTCTCCGTTTCTGCTCGCAAAAATAGTCATCATTCATCCTGCATTCCTTGATGCAATGCACTGCAACAGGGGAGATCAACTTCTCCTCGTAGATGGGCATCGCCACTAGTTGAGTCAAGCCTTTGCAGCTTCACCGTCGCACTGCGGCTCAAAAATTAAACCAGCATAGACCCCGAGTAGCAAAGTATTTGTGGGCAACACCCTGCAGCAGCACCATCACCGAGGCTCCAAAGTGCACATTGCCATAAGCATCTAGCAGCGGCAACCTGCAGTGGCACTGTGCAGTGGCTCCAGCACCCAGCCTCCAAATGTGCACATTGCCATCGGCATCTGGAAGCAGTGTCCTGCAGCGGCACCAGCACCCAAGGCTCCAAAGCACACACACCCATAGACATCGGGCAGCAACACCCTGGAGCATCACCCTGCAGCGGCACCAGCACACAAACTCCAACTCCAAAGCGTACAGCCATACACATCTGGCAGGAGCACCCTGCAGCGCTACCGGCACCTAGACTCCAAAGCGCACACAGGCATCTCTTCTTATACTTGAAATAAGAACCCCAATAGCTGCTCTCTGGGGAAAGAAGTTGGATACTTCGAACAAAAGACTGTCCAAGAGTCCAGACAAAAGGGCTGCCGAATTGATGAAAGCGTCGCTCGACGCCACACCCTCCGGGTGGATGTTATACCGCCTTCCGGGTGGTCAGAAGCCCCTGAACCTCTTGCACTTAGCCCTGAATGGCTGCGGAAGACAGGTTGAACCTTGACGTGTTGTTCACCTCACAGCCCTTACAGTAGTGCTCACCAAAAATGTCCCCTTCAACAACAGAAACTGGCAGTGGCATCTCTCAATCCCTGCCTCGAAATTTGACCGTAGAAGCTGAACTCCGGGTCCAAGGCAAGGCTTTCCAAGCCAAGACCCAAAACTCCATCAAACCTGATTCATACGAAACACAAACAAGAGAATCAACAAGAGCAGCTTCATCGAACGATTTATATTTTATAATCAATAAATTGAGGAAAACGATGGAAGGATGTCGCCAATCATAACTTTCTCAGCTCCAGTCTCAAACTGCTGAAATGGCTCGTCTGTCATTTCCGTGGCCTGCACCACTCGAACCTGTCCACGTACTCATAGTGTCTGCAAAATATCAACCAAGCAAGAGATGATGTGCCAAACTCCCCTGACCTGGAGGCAATCTGACGATTTCAAGCCTTCCTCCTCCTTTTGACCCTGGTGGTTGGTCAGGCACACTGCCTCGCGGAAAATCCCGTGGCCCTTGGCACATGGCCTTTCGACACCAAGTCCATCTGTGCCCTTTGCCTCTCGGGAGAACTCCCCAACCACCTCACCGGTACCATAGGCGATGGCAACCTGTCGAGTTGTGAGTTGTGAACAAATCTTCAAGAAAGCTTGCCTTGAAAAATAGGAAAAGAAGCAGCAATATTCTTGCTACGGGGATGGTTTTCCCCTTCACAAATAGAAAGTGCAGGGTATAGTCAGCTAAGGCCTTACAACCAATGTTCTTTCAGCTGGTCTCGAGGGGTAGTTGAGGTCACGATCCATTGAGCCAGGCGATTCACATATTGGGAATTACACCCAGCAATTGAAGTTGGAAGCTCACAAATGTCTGTTCTGCGTCCTTTGCGCTGCATTAGTCATGTGCAAAGATTTCAAGCCTGATCACGTTCGGAGTCTGCTGGGACTTCATTTCCATCGTGGTCGAGGTCAACTGCTGAGAGAGAAAGCTTGCGGTCCTTGCTCCAATCTTCGTTGCAGATTGAGAATACTCTTCAAAAGGCTGCAATATGCTTAGGCTCACACGTATGCAGAATGGTTCGAGCAGGCTGGCATCTGCAATGGCTAGAATTGTCTTGGAACTTGGAAACGTTGACTCGAAACAATTTCCTAACAATTCCTTCCACATTAGAGGCATAAAGCTGTACGAGGCTTCCCACACCGAAGCTTCAACTCACAGAAGCTCTTAGTCTTAGTAGTTACCCTTTCCTACGCGTGCCTCACATTTCTTTGAAGGGATGATGAAGTGCCCAGATCCAGTGTCGAAGACTACCTCAACAGCATCCAGCATCTCACAGTGACAGGATCATCCAACTCACTGCAGCTAGGCCGCAGTAAACTTCTGCTGGTTGGGCAGGCCTACAAAAATGTCTCCAAAATATGCAGTCTTGTACCTGCACTCGATTGGGAACCAAGTCTTAGCCCTTGGCTGCTGAAAAAGCGCTGGTGCTACAAGTAACTCGTGTAACGTTCAGAAGCGACGGGCACATGACGGTTCTGTTATTTCTCAGAACAGGCACGTACTGCTTGTCTAGGATGATCTTGACCTTGCGGCGATGAACGATGCCCTTCCAGAAGCTGCCTATCATAACATCCAGGGGAAGAACTGCTGGCGCCGCTGGCACATCGTGCTCAAGGGGTTCCAGACTCTGTTGATGCGCCTGGCAACTCACTCAACAACGCATCCAGGGGTTGCATCCAAAAGCACTTGACTTGGTCAAGGAAAACGTTTCAGGCCCTGCGCTGTGGCCTTTATGTCCAGCAGCAAAGGCCTGTCCGATCTACTCCTCTACACTCGGCATGTCACCAAATTTGCTGCATGTATATATATATATATATAAATAAACAACCAGTGACCTAAGTCTATACACCACGTTAAAAATAGTCGCAACAACAGTAGTGAATGCATCTATATAATGCAAACAGTGCGTTCCAATAGTCAACCCCAGCTGTAACTGGCTCAAAAACAATGGAGTTTTGCGAAGTCTTATCTTTTTCTCAACATGTTTGACCTGGCCATGCATCAATTTGACTACTGTACTGTACAAAGATTGGGCCTTGCCAAACCTGCAGAAGGCACGGCCTAAACATCATCTTGCCGTTGTTGCAGCTGGATTCCGATGACGGGTGTCTCTTGCTGGGCACCCCACGAAGTAGAGAATCGAAAAGAGACCTAGTAGAGCCTCGGCCAAAGTAGTGTTCAGTTTCTTTCTCAAACTTCTACAAATCAAGCCATCCGGTTTCACACATCGTTTCGCGCGACCTTTGCAGGCAGATCTGAGCCAAGACTGGTACAAGTTGGGTGATCGCTCTCGGCCACATGATACGACTCAGTAGACCAAGCAAGCTGCACTGCAAAAGAATCAGGAAGGTCAAACGGTCACGACTAGGAAGAACAGGACAAAGTGTGCACAGTGAGTTTCAATCAAGCTAACTAAAGCCGATACGAAAGCTCTGGCTGAGACCGCTGCAGGGTTGTTCGATATCGGGGTATGGAGGTGTGGCCAATACTTTGAGCCACACCAGCAGACATGCTGCCATGCTTCTGCAGGACGCTTCTCACTGATTCTTGTTTACACAAAAGTTCAAGAACGAAGGCACAACTCATGACCCCTTCAAAACCTTGATCAGAGTCAACACTCAAAGGACACCCCTTCGGAAAAGGCCAAAACAAGCTCGCAAAGTCACATCCGCTGAATCCACTGACATAAACTGGTCAGACCACTGCCTCGTTCATTGGCCTGACGAAGCTTTCGATTGACACTGACTGTGGAATGTTCGCAGGCAACTCGGGCTCCAGCTTCACGAGGCTTTCGCCAAAGGTACTTCAGTTGATTTCGGAAGCCCTGACATACAAATCAGATCTTTATATAGAACTTTAGACCAATGTCCTGAAGGTTGGTAGCAGCTTGACGGTCCCTGGCAGCTCAGCCACCGAACACTTCGAACCGTGCCCCACCTTGCGAGTCTGAGAGATCTGCGCCTGAACCGATGAATTGATGCAATTGTCATAGAATTGCGTGAATCTCATGTTCATTTGCCCTTACTACTAGGAGCGGCGAACCTCCAGCTGCTGCAGTTGCTTCTCCATCCACGGCACGGCACTCCTCACGACGACTTCCGCAACAACCTGCATGCTCGGTAGAACAAAATGCTTCAAATAGGTTATGAATGGCACAAAAAACAACAAAAAACGCATCCAACAATATTCAACAGAGACGAAGTTCCATGGAGAGAAGGATGAACAAGTGAAATTCCAAAGCCTGCGCCACGGACTTCACGTCATCTGAAGACAGTCTGCTTCCTGGAGACGCGGCGCAGGCTGCGCCCTCATTTGGAGCCTTCGAGCAAACTAAGCTCAAAGGATGTGAGTGATCACCTGATGGTTCAAAAATACTAGTGCAAAATGATCCGATAGTCAAGCTGCGTCTGGTAGCAAATCAATAAGCTCTGCAATGTCCAAACTGTACGCTAAGGATCATGCGGGTGGCGGTGGAGGCGCATGACGGTTGGAAGAAAAGTTTCGAAAAAGCTCCTCAGTCACCGAACTGTGTCACATCAATTCTTTGTGCAAAATCTGTGAAGGACTTGATGGACGCATCGATGTTCCCGGGTCCTCTATCTCTGGCTCCACTTCGGCCTGAGATATGCAGGCCATTCACCACTGTCAAACCAACACCGTTTCAATCCTTCGCAGGATGTCCTGAGACATTGACGGAACCACGGTTGATCTGCAGTACATAGACTTGATTCGGAGCAAAGCGAGTCTTGAGATCTGTCAGTTTCTGGGTGAGTTCATCTTCATTTGGACTTTCTGGATCAGAGACGTCGTGCAAAAGAACTGCAACTCTTGATGGGACGGGATCCAGAATTCCCTGAGTACATAGTGGCGGCATGTTGGAAGCATGCAGCAGTTGCTCCAAAAGCATGGCAGGTTCTGCTTCTTTGGACATGACCACTAGCATTGCTGCTGTAGGTTGATCTAAGCCTTCGTGGTCTGACCAACGCAAAGATCTAAACAAGGCACTGCGCCATTGCTCATACCAAGGGCTGGGTGGTTCTAAAGCCTTTTGGCGTGAAGCGTTTTCAAGCGCGCTGGACTCCACGGTCCAAGCAGCTAGCTGATCAGCTTGGAGTGCACTGAGCTGCAGAGCCGCGTCTGCATCTGTGAAATGAACTCGGAGGTTGTCGATGGTGATCTGCCGCTCCAAAGATTGGACTGACACAGAGATTCCGTATTGAGAATGTCCACCGAACGGAGCAAAAAGTTCAGCCAAAGACAGGCCATTCACCTCTTTGACACGAGTTTTTGCTTGCGCAGTGCCAATCACCACGATGACAGGTTGGAAGACTTCGCTGTGAAGCCACTCGGCATACTTCCGCGGCTCAAACATGGCAACACATCACTCATAACTTGAGTTTCGTACTGCAACAAAAACCTAAAGTTCTGTTTAGATCCACATGCACTCAACAGTGCATAACTGCAAAACAACATGTAACATGCATGGAACCCAAGAACGCTTTCTGGCCATGTCGCAGCTAAAATGAAGGCTTGATTGCAAGTTACGTTCAACGCAAAGTTCTGCACAAATTGCCTCCAGCAGAACGACCCAATTGTTTTCCCATATTTTAAAGCTGACTTAGACAGATGAAAGAGTTGTTCCATACACGCCAAGTTCAATTCCCCTCGCTCTCGTTTTTTGCACACTTTGGCCGGCCGGATCCAAACATTGGTTTGGCACACAGGTCTTCCAACATGTACAGGCATCAAGAAACCACGAAGGCAGACCTGCCACGCAAATCACACAAAACTACACTGAGCTCTGGTGCGTTGGATGGCTGGTCTGGCTTCGCATCTCCCCAGCGCTTATTGTTGCACTATATACCAAGAATGTCTGGGGTCCTACTCTTCCTTCCCCTCTTGTGCTGGGGGCTGGTGTGTAAACAGCTTGCCCCAACTCCAGATCCATGTCGGATCTAAAATAAGAAAACATCCCCCCTCCCAGAAAAGAATCTCGTAGTAGCAGCAGCAGTAGCAGTAGGATAGTAGTAGTAGTAGTAGTCGTAGTGGAAGTGGAAGTGGAAGTGGAAGTGGAAGTGGAAATAGTAGTAGTAGTAGTAGTAATAGTAGTAGTAGTAATAGTAGTAGTAGTAGGAGCAGGAGTAGGAGTAGGAGGAGGAGCAGCAGCAGTAGTTATTTATGCTGTAGGCCCTGTATTTTATTATCTGGGGATTTAATTTATAAAAGGATAAGGAAATTATAAAAGATATAGCCACAATAGAAAAATGGTATTAGCCAAGATTGTAAGGTACATGAAGGGATTTTAAGAAGAGAATAATATGAAAGAAATGGAATTAGATTAACCGTGTATTTTCACCTCCAAAAGTTAATGATGATAGAAATAAAAAAGAAAAGAAAATAAAAGAGGAGGACCAAAATAATGGCGCCCATACGATAATATATGATGTAACCCATGACCGTCAATCTATTATGAGTTAAAGATTGACTCAGCATTTAATTTAAAATGAAATATAAGCTGTAAATTAAAGGATAGAGAAATTTCCTATCAAATTTCATGAAAGATATGGCAGTTAATGGATTTTACAGATAACCGTCTATTACAAAGAGTTATTGACCATTAACTGCCAAGGAACAAATCATCCAAGAAGCATTCTATCTTTCATGGTATTTTCTAGAACTACAAAAATAGAATGCCCACAATGTATATATTTTTATTTGGTGGTTCTTGGATGATGGGGATGAATTTTGTTAATTCTTTCTTTCATACGCTGGGACGGACCAACCTAATAAAATGCATCCCTTGTTTTTACTTATTGGCTTTTAAATTAATGGTAATCTCTTTTTATAACGTAAAAGCCATTATTCTATTATTATAAGGATGACAGCCACCATAAGTTATTTTAAATTAATAGGCTGTCATCCGTCTATTTACTATTAATCGCCACCGGCATTTTTGTATCTATTACTATATCTTTGCCGGTGGCATCAATCATTATTATTGGTCTTGCAATGTTCTTAAGAGATCATTTATATGAATTGCAAGACCATATATCTCTTGTTTTGATATATTTACAGCCAATATTTTCTTTAAAGAAAATGGCTGATACAAACTTTCATTCACATTAGTTTGTAGGTCAACGGCTAGTTGAATTATATTGTTGTAATCTTAATGTGGCCTTATGCTGTTTGATTTATCTTCTGTTTTATTAGATCATAAGGCCACATATATTTATATCTATTTTCTTTATCTATGAGCAAAACCCACGGGAAGGATCCTACCGGTCAACCTATATTTTTAAGGTGGAATTTGCATATTATTCATATTTATATTTCATCTTTTAAAATGTATTATTCATATTTGTAATTCATCTTTTAATAAGTTTGCACCCCAAAAATTAAGATGATAGAAAATATTAAAAACCATGGGGTGCCATCATAAAGATATTCATATATAATGGCTATAAATTGTAATAAGTAATTCTCCAAAAATTTATAGCCATTCAATATGAGATCTTTTAGCCTAGCCTATGGCCCAGCAATTTATTTTAAATTAGAAATTGCTGTCATGATTATAGATTACAAAGAAGATTATGGATGCTTAATTTAAGTAAAAATAAGAGAAAAGAAGATACAAATAAAAGCCTGGCCGTTGATAATAGAAATGAAAGATAGGAAATAGATTGCCGATGGACTGCCTTTCTCTTATTTTTAACCCTTAGAAGCGATCCGTGAGCTGGGTTAATAGCGTCCATCGGCAGTTTCTACCTCATGGTCTCTTCTCCAATCCTCTCCACCCGCCCCAGATCCAAGAAGGGGCCCAACGAATCCCAGGCGAGCCACTGTGCCCCATCGGTTAACCCTTGATTTGTGGCTCGCGATCAATCGTGTTTTCCCACTGTACGAAAAGGACCGACCATCATTAATTTATATTTACCTTTCTTTTCTTTTCATATTTAAGTTAATGATGGTAACGACTAATGATGGATTCCAGAAGTAATTTTAAACCCCGGGTTCCAAGATCTACTGCAAAATAGAATAACCCATGAATCCTGGAACTTGGAACCCGAGATCATAGTCCTTACGGTTGCTCCTACAATATATATTTTAGTTGCATTAAGAAATGTCATGAGCAAATAAATGATGCGTGTCTGGGGCACCAAGCCTTTCAATCTTTGGAGACACCATGACCACTGTTGATGATTGAAAGGCTTGGATGTGTAAGGGGGCCCCAGATCCAAGAAGGGGCCCAAGGAATCCCAGGCGAGCCACTGTGCCCCATCAATCTCATCCTCGTCTTTCATGTTATGAGATTCATGGTGTACCCGAGATCATAAGACTATTCACCAAAATTAATATAGTCTTTACTTATTTACACTTAATTTTGGTGAATTATTCACTTCTTTTCATACTTATAATACAATGATTGGGAATTTAATGTTTGGTTTCCCAAAGTCAATTGCTAGTAGGAGCAGCAAACCAACAGAAAAATAAGCTCACATGTTTGTCCTAGGGCTCCAAGTTTACAAATTAATTCAACCCCTAAACAATCAATATGTTATGTGTCACTTTTCCTGGGCTTGTGTTCTACCCCCTTGAAAAATTGTTTGGAGCAATGAATTGATGAGTTTTTATAAGGGTTTTTGAAAAAGGTTTCAGGTCCTGAGTTCAATGAATCAAGCAAACTTCAGAAGGATTAAGCAAGGATCTTCGAGGACGGCATTAGCAGAACAATGGAAAAGTAAACAAGTCTTGAAAAACGTCCTGGGAGAAAGAGCTTTTTATTGTTCCCACCTACTAAACTATTCAGGGTGTGGGAATATACAAATGTGCGAAAACTGTTTGCTATTCCCTGCCTCAAGACTTGACCAGGAGGCCAGACTAAAGTCCGTTTGCCTGCAAATCAGTTTGCAAGTATGTTCTCTGATGCTGTATTTTGATGCCTCTATCTATCTCTCTCTCTCTCTGTCTCTCTGTCTGTCTCTCTAAGCAGGAATGCAACTTTTCTGCAATGTGCTCAAGTCAGGAGCAGCTGGTCGCAAACCGACCTCTGCTGGCAAGTCTCCAGGTATGACATACACAAGTCATGTCTCCAATAAGGGCCCAGCTTCAGCTGTAATCATAAAAGCCACGCTTGGTCTTTTTGCCAAGCCATCCAGCTTCCTGGACTTGCAAAAAGGTCTTGTGAGTCAGGTTGCCAAGGAGTGTCACTGTCATCAAAGCCACATCTGGCCAAGCCGCCACGTAGTTCACCAGCAACGGTGCAGGACGGTACTTTGAGTCACCCAAGTCTCGGTGCAGCACCTCAACCGGTTCATTCAAAACCACGGTTGTTTCAATTAAATAGACCAGAAGTGGATTCAGACCGGGATTCGCGCCCAAAACAGTCCAAAACAGCAAGTGATGAAAAACCCAAGCCATCTCTAGCGAGAAGCAATTGCGCCCACCTCCCCAAATCCTCCCATCACGCCTTCATGATGCTGAGGCAAGTGTCCAGGCCAATGAAGTCCTCAAATGTCAAAGAAAAAGGGAGTCGTGGCCAGTGCCAATTGGAGAAGGGAATACAGTGCTGTTGGAAGCCAAGCGACGGCAAGTGTCAAAGGACCCATCGGGACATTCGTTCCCAGTTTGAGAGTCTTGTCAATGTCCTTCAAATCTCTCAATAGTGTCCAATCAATGCAAGGAAAAAGAAATAGAGTGCCAAGTACTCTCATATTTCAGCTGCAAATGTTGTCCCATCATCATGGTCGTGGTCAGGCATGTCCTCTGCAGTTCCAACTCCGTCTTGCAGCGCGAACACGGCCTTTCAATACTAGTCATCAGCAATTCTAGTTGCAAACTGAGTGAAATCAAGCGCCTCATTTATGTAAGGCATCAGAATTCGATTCGCGATGAAGCCAGGCCGATCTTCACTGGTTGAATGCTCCTGGAACAAGTCAAGAGTCTTGAATGGGAAGTGTGAAGCAAACCTGATGATTGCAGGCTGCAGTAATCAATAAACCCAAACAGCGTGTCCCCTTCAATCCTGGAACGGAAGACGTAAATAAGAGGCATTATATAGACAGCCAGTGTGGTCTCCTTCTTCATTGCTGTACAGAGCTGCAACGTGAGTTGCAACGTTGCATCATCTGTTCGTAAACCTCTGATGACTTCCACCAATGGCATGACCGGGACCGGATTCCTGAGGCCAAACGCACGAAGCATGCTGTTACTAATAACATTCGAGCACCGCTTCAGAACAATATGAGCGCCCAACATGAAGTGCATACCTTAGTTCGGTGCCCAAGGACTTCATGGAGGAGCCTTTCATGTTCATCCCAGCACTGCAATGTCCTCCAAGCGGCCGATCATCCGCTCTGGCCTGGAGATGTTCGAGGCCAACTTGGTGATCGATATTGAGGATGTATTGGTCGCAAGCACACTTTCCTCCGGGAGGCCTGAAGCCTTCGGGCAAAAGTCTTTGGCTCAAGAATGCAAAACGTGCCAAACAACGGCTTCTGTGCCTGGAGGGTCTCATAGCATGATTGCTTGACATTCAGGTCCTCACTCACTGCCTGAAATCTCTCTCTTGAGGTTCACAACAAACGGCCAACCGCGGGCAAAAACAAAATGAGATAATATAAGAAGAAAATTCCAACATGGATTTCCTCGGCCCACATCAGCGCCTCAATCACAAAGTCCACCTGCGGAATGGTGGTTCTCAGAAAGCCTCCATCATTCAAATCACCAAACTTGATCTGCTTCAAGAAAGCTTCCACCTTCACGGCCACAAAAAACAAGGGACGAGGCTGAATGAAACCACAAATGCGAACACTTTGATATCCAAGCTGCAAGCTATTTCATTGCTCCACAAAGCCTGGCCTCTGCTTCAGACATTCGACCCTTCTTTGCCTGAAAGTTGAGCTCTTCCAAAGAAGTCACAGTCACAGAAAGTACTATATTACATTATACCAGTATTGTAGACCGTGTATGTATATATATATGTATATGATTGTTGTTGAATGCTCTCGATTCTCTTCAGTATCCTCGTGAAATTGAGTAGCCCTTGCTGAGAAGCTTGGTGAGCAGGCACTTGTCACTTGTAGCTGGTATATGTTTGTCCCAAACCACCTGCGATTCCTCTTGACATTAACCACCATTGGTGCCGAACCTCCTTGGCTGCCCAATCCTTCACGAAGGCTTTGCTGCGATCCAGGCTTTGAGGATAGGCGTCCAATCCAAGGACTTCTACTTGCGCATGTCGTGCCTTAACAAAGACAACACCAAAAACCCTGGCGCCCCTCCAAGCTCACGTGAACTTGACGGCTCTACACCGTCCAGTTGCGTTAGGTTACAGCCACTATAGCAATGCCGGTGCCCATCCTGAGCTCGTCTGCAGTGACAAAGTCTGCCTTGATGGACGCAGTGCCATCTCTGAGGCAAGGACTGCCCACAACCAACCACTGCTACACGCTTCACAGGAAGGGCGGTGGTTGTTGCCCATCGGACGGAACCACCAAGCAGCTGCAGGGGCTGCACCCTTCTCATCCCCATTGCAAAAGGTAGTGAAGAAGACATGAATCGCAGACTTGCTTGAACCTGTGAAACATGTATCAAACCTGCCCTTTTGGAAAACAAGTGCTTGCACCGTAAAGCTGCTGTCTACTGTGGATCTCGTCGCAAGCATCTTGCAAGCCCAAAGGCTCGTGACACATTTACATGCATGCACAATCCACAAGTTTCCTGGGTAGAACAAACAGCCTTTGAAAAGCTCCCGGTCTTGAACCAAAAAATGGCCCCATGTACTTCAGCACTCGCTTCCTGGCCCCGCTTCCGGAAGAAGCGGACAGCTTAGGCCTCTTTTTTCTCGAATGCAAACTTTATCAATTTGTCGGCCTTGGAAGCCTTAGAGTGTGCACATTCAAGCGTCTGTTGGACAAATGTTTTTTGAACATGTTTCATGACAGCAGGAAGCTGCGTTAGTGCAATCTATTTGACCTGACTGAGTGAAGCTGCAGCCAGGCAACCTTGACCATTTTCGTGCGTGAAGGATTGTCTCAGAATCGTCTCCTTGTCAAAACTGGACTGAAGCGGTTCTCGTTTTAAGCAAAGATAAACAAAGGCCACTTGAAGGGTCCTCCCAAGGATCCCAGCAACCGCAGCGCGCTCACAATGGAGGCACTGTACGGACCGGATGATGATGCAAGTCTGCACACCTGAACAACGAAAAGTGTTGCAGGAGTATGCAGGAATGGATAGACAGCATTTTGCTATCGCAGGAACATCGATGCGAAAAGTAACCACAAGGAATAAATTTGTGTCGTGCGAAAGGTGGGAGCCTGGACCGCACAGTTCAGCAATGGATACCATTGCGAGCGCAGGATCATGCATTAGACCATGCATTCATGTCCAAAACATGGCCTGCTGCCATGGGATCAACAACACAAATGGAAGGTATTGCAAAACATAATACATAATGTTCGGACGATTTTAACCAAATGCTACTCCTACAACATCCAATGAGATTCCAGATCGCGGAGACATGAACCACCAACGGGTTGGTGAAGTTGAAACTAGCTTTGTGATGGATGCCATCTCACGATATCACAAAAGTCACAAATTCATCAAGTTCTGACAGCCCTAAATGACTGACATTCACTGCTCGTGTAACTCCACTCAGCTCACCTGTTTGTTCAGAAATCAATATCCTCTCGATCCAAGCAAGACTGAAAGATTTGATCTCTCAGGTTTGGCACTGGCTTGACTGTGTTAGCTGTGGGTGAGACAGTTGGACTGTGAGATTCCCACCATTTGTGCTTCTCACGTCCACCTGGGCGAGTGGCAAACTGGGCGAGTCACATCAGGTCTACCGGTGTACCAAGTCGTTCAGCCAAAGAACGCCCGCAAATCGGACTCTTCACAATTCTTTGTAATGTACGTACCATCTTCGGCTGAACCTCAAAGCAACAGTCACAGGACCAATCAAGAGCACTTGCATCGATCCACTGAGTGCAGCACCGAGGTACACAGTGTAAAGTGGCCCCAAGGCTGTGAGGAACACCTGTACACTGACAAACTCAATTGCAGGAACACCTGTTTGAGACACGTGAATTCATATAAAACATGTTTGGCCTCTAATATGTAGCATCCAGATTCCTCAAACATTGAAAACTGAAGTCTGCTGGACTGGACATGAGTCATTCATGGCCTCGCCACTGGAACGGGTCACTATAGCATTCTGTCCTAGCAAAAAAATACATTGTTCCATTTTGCAGCAGAACGCCGGCAGAACGCAACAAAGCTCGGCAAAGTTCAATGACACAAAAATGAGTGCCTGCAGCAAATGTGGCAGGTGGAAAGGAAAAACCTTCGAATTCTTCTGTCGGAGGTGGAGGCACAGCCATCACAACCTTGGAAACATTTCACGAGTGACCAATTCTTATCGTTGCAGTTGAATTTGAGTACGAGTTAAATTAAAACTGTGAGTCACTCACCCCTGCCGCGTTCAGCTCTTCTTGCCGAGCCTTGGATAAAATGATTGCAACCCACGTTCTGAAATGTCTGGAAACTTGGGACAACACCGCGGCAATGGCTGCTCCTTCCTCCAATCGCAAACGGTCATCTTCATGCATTGCAATGCTTTCAGTTCCTCAGCTCAAGCATCTCAACTGCGATTTCATGGTGTATTCTCCTGAAATTGACCCAGAATCCCAAGTCATCTTGATGTTCTTCCAACGGGAAGTACCTGCCGTGTCCAACGTCACGCTCTTTCTGTTGACAGCTTGGTGGGCGCACGCAAAGGACACCACCATCCCTGCAGAAACACCATCTGGACAAGTCAGTTGGAGCACCTCGAAGCAACAAAGTCTTTCAGCAACTGCGGTTAATAGTATTTCCCCCAATGACCTGTGGAACCAAATATAAGGAGGGTTGGAACTTGGAATTTCAATTAATTTCAATCGCACCTGTCCATCCGGCGTGCTGACGTTGAAGTTTAGTCCTGCAGATGTGGAAGAGATCCTTAGACATAATGTCCGGGAAACCCTGCACTTTCTGCTTGATCAATCTTGCCTGGACCAACACCTTCAGGGACCTCAACCTTAGGAAAACATTTTGCCAAACACAGACTGAGACATATGCCCTGAAATTCGTATCCAAACCCCAGCCTGCAAGGTTACAGGTTCTCCCTGCTCTGCCATTTTCACCAGATAATATACATGCCGTCTGCAATTGTTCTTGGGTTCGCCGGTTATTTTGCATGTTAAGAAATGAAACTGACACCAAAACACCCCTGCATCCTCGAAAAGAACCCGGTCACTGCATCAAGGTTGTTCACCTGCAAAGTATTATTATTGAAAATATTTGCCAATGCTGGAACCAAAGTGGCAGCACCAGTCGTATTCAAAACAAGCACCATGATGAATTTTGATGAACCTTGTCAAGGTACTACTTTGGCATTTGTGAGTCTCAGACACATATCTTTGTGGAAGTGAAAGTTAATGTCGACGGTGACGATGCAAACTGAGTCGTCAACTCTTTGGCACGCCAACACGAAGATAAATGCAAACACACCTACGAGCAGTGGCTGCAAGTCTGTTTGGTAGCACGTTTGTTTTGAACCTCGCGTTTCGGTCGCACTGATAAGTACAGATACTACACAAGTAGATCAAGTTCCCTATACAAACTGTCAAGTGTACACCTCTGCATACATGTCAAAATAAAGTAACACCCAGCCTTGATGCGAAACGATTTAGTTCACGCATCACTTTCTTTGTACACTTTTTGATTTGTGCGAGATCTACCACTTCAAGGTAGCACTGACAAGGTCTCTCACACATATACATTCATGTACAGTATCTCTGATACATCCCGTTCCGACATTTGGAATGTAATTCCCATGAAAAATTTTCGCAAATTCTGTCACCTGGACACCTGGTTCAGCTGGTTTCACGCATCCATCAATGCTCACAAACCTGTAAGCTTGCCTTGCAAATAAATTCGATCGTGGTTCCAGTCAATGTCGTATTGTAGCTTCGAAGTACCACCATAGGCCATAGGCAGAGAATCCTTCAGATGCAGTTGGCAATTTTGGGAGAGAATCACAGGGACGGTGTTCGAAGACGAGCTCATATGATGTGTCGGGGAATGACAGATTTATCGCCCGACAGTGGGACTGATCCAGGTCCAGAGGTCCAAGAAGAAGAAGAAGAGCCTGAAGGTGAAGGTGGTGAAGGTGAAAGCAAAGAGACATGCATCTATACATCGGGAACAGATATGGGCAGTCAGATGGCACAGCATGTTGATGAGCAGGATGGATATTTCACTTCGAGCACGTTGCCAGGCAGAAGTTTACAAACAAATACAGCACAAACAACACAGTCTGGTGAGCATGAACCGGAGAGTGATCATGACAGTGGAGATGGAGAAACAACATCTCAGATGAGGCGCAGATACCCACAATCCGGTTTGGATGAGGTGAGTGATCCCGAGTACTGGCAACAGCTACACCATTTTGACAGCGAACCAGAGTCAGATGGTAGCAACATACAGATCATTGACTTCAGTGTCAATATGAATGTGGAATGCATGTTTTGTTGGAGTGTTATATGAAACCATCTGAGCCATAGACACTCAGTGTTTGTGTGTACCGTGAAACCAGCTGAGTCGACCTAGCGCCCTGAGACCAAACGTTGTGAACCCATTCTTGGTGTTTTGTGGTCTGTCTCAAATTTGGATAGAGGAAAGAAGGGTGGGCAGATGTTGAGCGAAGGTTTGGCGCCGTGGAGCCTGTCATGTTTGCTCGTTCACTGTGGCAAGGAAACCTTGTTTCGTTTCATTTGACGTCGTTGTTTGATGCATGTTGTGAAGGATGGGTTTTGAAAAGATATTGTTGAGGTTTTGAGCTCGCGTCCTTGATGTTGTTGCAAGCTACGCCAGCTTCCGCGCGGTTCCCGGTTCCATCTTGGCGTCAACGTTCAAATTTTCCCTTGCAACGCACTGGGGTTTTGCGGTTACAATCAAGCTCTGGGTTGGGTCTGGACCGTCTACTACAATGCGCGGTATTTTTTTTGCACGAGTCGAGGCGCTATGTGTGCAGGTTCTGCACAAGTCACCTTTGCCAAGTTAAGAAGGAGTTACAATGCAGGTCGCAATCCAAAAGGAGAAAACAACACCAGAAACCAAAAAAACAACACAGAACCAACCACTGCAATGCGCGGTACCACCTCGGTGCCACTTCATCACGGCTCGGGCCCTTCATTGCAATGCGCGGTATCGTTTTTGTTTGGTTGTTTGGTTGGGTTTGTTCGGTGGTGCCTTGCTCTGATGCTTGGCTCGTATCTCCTCAGTGTCCCTATTCAATTCAATCAAGGTGACTTGTGCCTCTCAGCACACATAGCGCCTCCACCCGTGCAAAAAAAACATTACAATGCGCGGTACTGCCTCGGTACTGCTCGGGCCCTCTATTACAATGCGCGGCAAGGCCTCGGCACCGCTCGGGCCCTCCATTACAATGCACGGACCGCCTTGCCGCTCGGGCCCCTCCATTACAATGCGCGGCGCCGCCTCGGTACCGCCTCGGTACCGCTCGGGCCCTTTTTTCAATGCGCGGTACCGACACCCCGTTTGCGTTTTACAACGTTTCAATTGGATCGGAGTGAGGAACCACACAAAGACCACCACGAAACGCAACCTTAACATTGTAGTCCCGGCGCTTCTTCAAACAGGGCGCTCCACACTTGAGCCAAGGCATTCCAAGTGTGCTTCGCGCTCAACCATTCTTAACAAACGCTTGGGCGTGGGCTTGGCCATTCGTGTCCAAAGATGAATTGCGTTTTCTGTGGAATTTGTGGCCTTCATTTTTGGGGTCCAAAACCCTGGCAAAACCGGTCTCGCCATGGAGGACCTCCCCAGCTGAACTTGAACTGTGAAGTTCAACTGGCAAGACCCACTTTGGCAACCCCGGAATCCATTACGTTTTTGGTCCTTAATTTTGGGGCCGCCAATGGACAAGATTTTCGCTTGCGTCGCGACCCGGTTGTTCTGGCATGGTGACGATAACGCCCAGTGTTTTGGTTGGTGGGTTGCTTGTCGTTTGTTGGTTTGGGTGAACGTGAAGGTTGGCTTTGCGCAAGTCTGTTGGATGTTGTTTGTTCTTGGTTGTACTGAGGGGGTACTCTGGTTGGTCTAAAGAATTGCAAGTTATTTTGGGGCCAGAAACGGTGTCAACAAAACTTCTACCAATCATGAAATTCCCATGCCCACACCCAAAATTGACATCTTCGTAACCACTCCTCCGCTCCTCCGCTGAAATTCTACTCAAGAAAAAACACCAAAAACAGTTTGTGAAACGGAATGATCTCTCTTACACAACAACAAAATGTGGAGGAGTGTAATGCTCCTCCGCTTGTTTCCTCCAATATAATTACTCCTCCACCCTGTTTTAAATATATACTATTATATAATACAGGGAACTCACTCCTCCACGTCTCTTCTAAAAACCTCGCAACATGTTCACGCGTTAGGAGTCTAGGGGGTAGGGGGGCAGCTATTGAAAAAGATGACAAGGAAGTGGGTGACTTGGCAAAGATGGCGCTTTTGACACATCCCTCACAACCCCCCCACAACTTCCACACCTAATTCACCCAACACCTACTACCTCAATGGTTCCACCTCACACATTAAACTTTGCTATAGGGTACATACGCTAGACATCGAAACTGCCCATAAACTTGCTTCTTTCCTCGAAGCCAAATTTAACCTCAAAAACACAACAGAAATTCCGAGACCGGTTCATGCGCACAAGCGCTCTGCTTGTCCTTGCCAACTCTGAAGTTGCGCAGTAGAAGCGCCTGTGCTTCTTCCATGGAGGCTATCCGCTGCCCTGCTACACACATCTGGAGAAGTCTAAGGAGTTCTTGATCCGGCCGGTGAAGATTTGTCCACTTGTCATGACGGTTTCAAACCGAATCCAGAAGGCCAGCCGCATAGGCGCAGCAATCCTATCGCGATTGGGAATGACTCCCGGGTGCGTGAGCTTTAGATCAGTAAGACTGACTTGCCCTTTGGGGAGTTGACAATGCAGCCAATGCCAACAGTTGTGTTTGCAACTGCCCATCCAGCGTGCTGAGCCTTCCACGCCACGTACGTGATGTGCAGGGATTGCTGAAGCATGTCGAGCTCTGTGGCAGCTGGCTTCCTGGTGTTTGTCCGGGTCAGCGGTGGCAATCAAAGCTGCTAGCACCCCTTTTGGCATTGCTATGGCACCCAGTCTTGCTGTGTTCTGGCAGGTCGGCCACAGGCAGCGAATTGCCAAGGCAATCACTGCTCTTATGACTAGAACTAGTCCCTCACATGAACCCATAAACTTCTTGAACCCTGGCTACTGAATGCAGCACGCGGAAACGCAAAGGCCGTCAGGGTAAATCGTAAATATGTTCATAACTGAATCATATATATAATTTCATAATTCAAACATTTCATATGTCTTTATTTATTAAATCTCACGGTCACTTTTCTCGTCAGGCGAACAGAGGAGGTTTCTGTTGAAACGCGCATTCACATAACGGATGCATACCGTTGTTTTTGCTGACCATGCATTTCTGGTCATTTAGTTCCCCCATTCGCTTCAGCATTCAGATTAGACCTAACAAGACCGTGAGACACTGCACATTTAGGTGTGACCACAACATAAGGCTTCAACCAAGACAACTCGCGGAGTGACCCGCGGCTGGGGTGGTCAGCGAGGTTTGAAGGAGACGGAACGCGGGCCAACCACAGCATGAACTGGTCCTCTTCTGGGTCCTCAATACACAAGAGCATGTCCCTCCACTCAGGCTCTATTGAAGTGCCTTTCACGAGGACATCGAGAGCTGGCCAATTGTCAACAAACAAGATCACCCTTGACGAAGTGATGCGAGGCTTCCAATGAAGCAAAGAGACAATCCCGGCATAAAGCTCAACAAGACCTATCACATGCGTCTTTCCCCCGGCTTGCCAACGACTCATGAGATCATCCGGCACAAAGCCACCAAAGACCTCAGGCCTGCCTCCTGGAGGAAAAGCGACCCCTCCTATGGTAGCAATTGCCTTTCCATCTTTGTACTCGAGGGCTCCATCCGAGAATATGATCCAAGGCTTTTCCACAACATCGGCCACGAACTTTCGCGGTTTCCCGCTGCACAATCTCCGCTTGAGAATGTCAAAGGACTGCAACTGGCAAGGGTCCAATTGCACACGCTGAGTGGAAGTGTGACCCAACTCCCTCAACTGAGCCAAGGCCAAACGGCCTGCCCTACCCCAAACCTGAGCGTCGGCATATTGCAGCTTACCCAAAATACTCGGAAGCTGAGAAGGAACAACACTTCCAGCACCGAGAATATCATTCAAGGCAACTGTCAAATCATCCACGCGAGAAGGTTTGTTGGTCACTCGGACAGCGCCCTTCGGTGTGTCAGCTAAGTCCACAACCACCCCCAACACTTCGGTTTGCTTACCGAAAGGGTTCAGCTTATCTTGGGCATAAGTGAAACCGAACAAAGACAACAATCCCTTTGCTGCCACCATCGTTGAAGAAGTGTTCTTCTGGTGCGTGACGATAGGGAAATCATCAAAGTAGTTGCTCCACAAAATTCCTAACTGACACCCAGCAGCGTGTAGAAAGGCACTAACCCTAAGGAAGTTGTGAACACTGCCTGCAGCCCCAAAAGGGAGAGTCTTAGTTACAAAGCACCGCACATCGTTGTGTTGATGGCTCCACAAAGACACAACAGCTTTCGCCTGGTCCTTAGGATGCAAAGGAAGCTGTTTATAAGCAGATTTCAAATCAAGGGCCGTGATGAGAAATTCGGAGTCACAAGAAAGCCAATCTTGGTGCACGTGACCTACAAGCCGCTCTCCTGTGGACAAGGTGTAGCTAAACTCCCCTCCACTCTTATACAAACGAACCAATGCAAGTACGGCCCAAATCAAGTAATCAAGAGCATACAGCGTTACCTTCTCTGCGCGCGAAAAGGTGTCGTTTACCTGATTTTCTTTAAAATCATCTATGGGTCTCAACTTCTCTTTTTGCAAAATTCCGAATCTGCGAACGGGCATCCACTTATCACCAACCACGTCGCTGACCTGAGTGGGGGTCAGTGGTCCCTGCAACCAGCGTTTGTTCGAAGCTTCTTCGACCGTCATCTCAAACAACTCACGCGAGAATTCGTCATCCCGTTGCGATCGGATTTTTCCTAACAAGGCCGGCCTCATGAAGTTAGTGTCCCTCATGAGTTGCTCTTCGCTCATGGAAGCAGCTTTCAAGCCTGTTTGAAAAATGTTCGACTTAGTGGCAGACCCGGAATTTCGAAAACCCTGAGACATTTCATCAAAGACGGCAAGGTCTGGCCATGCCATGCTCTGAGCCACCTTCTTCATCAGCATGATTCGTTTTTGTGTGAGCAACACTCTGGCATCAGGGTTCATGGGGTTTTTCAAGGCAATTTCATCACGCTGCAAATCTTTTGCCCAACTCGTCCACTCACTGAAGACACGTATTCTCTTCTTGACTAACTCTGCTGGAGATAAGGTCAAGTGATCGTACAGGCACTTCAACATGGAGTCAGGCATATGTACAGCCATGTCGAACGGGTGCCAAAGTGCAGTGGCCAACTTGACAAACTCTGCTTCAGTGTGATAAATGCCAGAAATGCACACGAACTTATCCCCCTTTTTCTCGGAACGCAAGAGCTTGCTACCTGCTGGCACGTGTTGGACTGCCTGGGTAACAAGGCTTTTGTCATTAACAGAGGGATGGTTCTTAGGAGCAAGGACACTACTTGTTTATACTCACCTACAAGCTGAGGCGTGGCCCTGCCTCTCGGTTGCCTATCAACCCTCGGCTGCTTGAGGCTCGCATCCTGGACTTGCCAACCTAATGATGCACATTCGCCGTCCAAAAACTTGACGAGTTGTTCACACATGGGACCTGGGTACTGTGCTTCCTGGGCCGCGGCGAACCTGCACTCCGATCGAATCCCCACGGGGCGTGGGTGTGTGGAGGAACCTCGTGGCAAAACCTTTGCATGATGGAGATGGTTTTTCTGTTGCTCTTATTTCTTATCCAGTAAAACCGCGTCGTCTATTAGATTAATGCGTGCGCGTGTCTGATGTTTGCTTGTGATGTGGTTTGCGTACGCTTAAAAGGTTACGCACAGAAACAACTGGTTTCAAAATTCACACAGCACCGCACGACACATTGAAAATGAAAAGTGACATACATCGCATCTCTCTTTTTCTCTTGCACTGGGGTCAAAGCTCTGTGTCACCCGACTGCTCTAACGGTGGGGCTAGGCCCGGCTCGAATGCATGGGAAAGCAGCCAAAAGAATTGGCCCATCATGGCAGAGAGCCTTGTTGGAGCTCGGAGAATATTCGAAAATGCAAGCGGTGGATGCGTGCATTTAGCAAAAGCTGGTATCGGAGTATATGGGCTCGAAAAGAGGCCGTAGCTAGAGCAGGGATATGTAAATCCCCCAAACTGTCTTCAACTTCATCAAGCGCGAACAGCAGTTCGGAGAGCATAAAATGAGCTCGACTATGACGACGAAGTTGCTCAAAAAGAGTTTGGATGCATACGTTCATATCTCAAAAGGGGGCGGGAAACGTCGCAAGACGAAGGGCGGGCTATCCCAGCTCCTTTGGAGCTAAGCAAGGAGGGTTCCCACCCACCCACACCTTAAACCGAAAAATTCGGACATCCGAAATTAGAACATGTTCAGTCGGAACATGTACAGACAGCATGTTTCCCGTCTGAACGTTTCTGTTAAACAATTACAAAATTTATTGCGCATAACCTTTTTCTTAAAAGAGAAAAAGGTTTTTCGAAACATGTCAGACACAACAAGACGCGCACAAAATCTCCAAACAACGCTAGCTTTCAAATAAACATTTGAAAGCTTTTTACTGTCGAAGAAATAAGGTGCTTATCACTACACGTAGTGAGACATCACTTATTTCTTATCCAGTAAAACCGCGTCGTCTATTAGATTAATACGTGCGCGTGTCTGATGTTTGCTTGTGATGTGGTTTGCGTACGCTTAAAAGGTTACGCACAGAAACAACTGGTTTCAAAATTCACACAGCACCGCACGACACATTGAAAATGAAAAGTGACATACATCGCATCTCTCTTTTTCTCTTGCACTGGGGTCAAAGCTCTGTGTCACCCGACTGCTCTCCCCGGTCACTTAGTGACACAGAGCAATCACAGCATCCATGTCCAGCAACGAACGAGACGCTCCAATCGACTCCAAAGAATCGTATTTCAGCCTGCTCGGTTCGTCAGCTATATTGGACTCCGTTGCCACTCGAGCGAACCAAACTTTGACTTGCAAAGAGAGTTCTAGCGATGCAAAAGCGTTCACGATCCGATTTCCAAATTGGGTTGACGACGATGCCTTAATCAAGCTAAACCTGGCGGCATCATTGTCTAAGTAAAAGACTGTCTGCCTCCCTTTCACCGTGTCGCCCCACAGCCACAGGGCTGCCAGCGCAGGGAAGAGTTCCAACTCGTAAATTGGATTCTTGGAATAGCCGAGTGCATCCATCAACGATTGCGGCACCACTCCCCCAAAATATGAGATGATTTTGCCCGATGGTGCCACGAGCACCCCTCCAACCGAGCCTTGCTTCTGTGGTTCACCTTCACAGGCCCCATCTGTGAAGATCGTCCAAGACTCCATGGTTGTCGGTGTAACCAGCAGCGGAGGGGCTGATAGCACTCGATCACGCAAGAAGGTGAGCAGCTGACGATCCTCATTCGAAAGAAAACATTTGCTTCTCTCCCGTTTGGTGAAGTCGCCCAGGCGAGCGATGGCTTGGTTGGCCACCCTTCCAAATGCAAAACTTTCGAACCAATGGAGCCGCCCCCTCAACGACTCGGATTGCTTGCTAGTAATGAAACCTGCATCAAGAAAGTCTTTGAGCAAAGCAGAGAGTTCTTCTACCCTGTCCGGGGTGTGCGAAATACCAATGATACCTTTGTCACACAGTCCCAGATTGATTTCGACTCCCAAACTTTTGAACTTCTTTGCAAAGCCAGTCGCCTTGCTGCCCTCCCTAGCAAAAACCAGGCCTATGAGGTCAAACAAAGCTTCAACAGTCTTGCTTGTGTTTTCACACAAAACCCTCGGCGAGAAAACAGTGTAATCATCGAAGTATGCTGTCCAGGCCAGATCGAGCTGTGTGATACCAATGAACCACACAGCCATTGAAATGCGCAGGAACCCACAGACAGATCCCACTGCTCCAAAGGGAAGGCTGTTAAGCCCCATGAAACTGACTCTCTTATCGTCTGTGTTTGCTACTGCAATACGAAGTCACGGTCGTCCTCACAAACCCCGAATTGCTTATAGGCCGATTTGAGATCATAGGTGCGACCCAACAGATCAATAGCGCTGCCCGTTTCTCTTGCGCGCTGCAAGAACCACGCTAGGTATGCAACCATCTCATCCAAGCAGTGAATCCTAAATTTTTCCACCACCCCAATAGTCTTGTTGAGCCCACCAACGGTGCAGTCGTCAATCATGCGAATTTTCTCTTTTTGCACCAAACCAAACCTCTTGGCTAGGCAGCTCCATTTGTCATTGGCATGGTCCTCCCAAATGTAGCCAGCATCCACTTCTTCTTTGGTCAGCTCCCAGGTTTTCTTCACTATGTCGTCTTCGAAACCTGAAGATTGCAATTGAGAAATGATGCTTTTGTTCAGACCTTTGGCCAGCTTCCGCAATGTTTCAACTGAGAACTGCGGCCGCTTGGTGTGCCTCGGGAAAATTCCAGTTTGATTCAACCAACCTGTGAGTTTGAAGCCATGTGAAATGTCGGCCACTAGCTTCGCGTCGGGGAAACCGCAATCTTCCAGCATCTCTTCAACAAGTTTCAAGCGTTTGGCCGCTAACAACTTGGAAAGGTGAAGAGGCATGTTCTGCTTCAATGCGGCTTCTTGCTCTCGCAACTCTTCTGCCCTGGTCGTCCACTTCTTAAAGAAACGAACTCTTTTCAAAGCAATCTTGTGTGGGTTTGAAAATAAATTGGCTTCCAGCACTCTTGTAACCTCACTGCTCAAATGAATTGCCATCGAACGAGGGTGTCCAACTTCCACTGCTTTCTCGACAAAGTCCATTGGCTCTCTCGGAACTCCACACGTGGTAGCTCCAAAACTATAGCTTCCAGATTCCCCTTTCAACTGGTCTTCCAAAATTCGTTTTGCAGAAACCGTAAAGAAAAATCCATGGAATTTGTCCGAGTCATTGAACTTGTCGTGCTCGGCCCGCAACTCCACCCCCGTCATCATGCGCCGAGCTTGGGGTTTGCAGCCTTTGGGAAGTCCAGCGACTTGTAACGGGTCCTCGTGCGGGAGGTGGATGACAAGGATGTAATGTTGGTAGCAAGAAACCAAAGGTTTATAGCGCTTGCCACGAGGCAGCATATCCAGCAAGAACCGATGCATCGGTGTAGATGGCACTTGGTCTGGAAGTGTACCCGGATTGGTCGCGCCAAAAGCTAAAGCTTTGTCCAGAAGCACTTGGGCAAGGCGTTCACAGAGGAGGATGGGATACGCCGCCTCTTCAGCGGTAGGGTACACCAACCTGCCGTTCTGTTTGACCGGGCGCCACGAAGCGTGCACGTGTTGGTCATCACAGAGCACTGCCAGCGAATGGAACCAAGCATGCAGGGCCCACCAACGTGTAGATTTCTTTCGAGCACCGCCATGACAGCAGTTGTCAAAAATGACGTCATACCCTGGTTTGTCCAACATTAACTGCATGATCGATGGGAATTGCCAAAAGAGACTATTGGTCGGTTTTTCCAATGAGCATTGAATGTTGTATTGGGCAGCGTGCCGGATCAATGTCGCTGTGTTGTCGTAGACAATGTTGGCTTGCTCTGTTCGAAGTTTGTCCAAACCCTGCAAGCCTGGAAGTCCATATATATGTTGCAACGACCTCAAAGGTTTGGCCACTTTGTAGCCCGCTGCTTCCAGGTTGGGTAACGGCCGATTCCTAGCTTGGGAAGCCGTCCCACAAGCAGGAGCACAATGGACCCAAGTGATGCGATCATGGTTTGCAGAAATGAACTCCAGCACCTGGTTGAATTCATCTGCAGCTGTAAAGTCGTGCAAACAAATATGGATTTGGCTACTTCTTTCAGCAGTTTTGTCAATCGGCATGACTTGGAATCCTGCATCTCGGACGACTTTGGAGAGCCTCGCTGTACCTGCAAAAACCTCCATGAAAATAAGTTGTGAAACATCGACCCCTGCAAAATCTCTGCGTTCTGTGTGAAAAGCATCTTGTTCTGCTTCATGGGTGAAAACTTCTGCATCTGCCACACGTTTTAAACGAGTGGAAGGGTGTCCTTTCTCTCGAAACTGTGATGATGGTTCATCTCGCTCTGAACGTGGGCGAGATTCAAAGGCATCCTCTGTCTCAAGAGCATGGTGAAACACGTTTGGCTTCTCCCCTCATGCGCTTGCAGCTCGACAAGACGTCAAGCTGTGGCCAACTCGGTGGCATTTGATGCATTTGTGCATGCCTTTGCGACAACGATGATTGCTGACCTGTTCTGAGCATCCAGCCGCCATGTTGTAATGCCAGCAAATGGGTTGGCCATCCGAATCCTTCAACTTGTATCCCTGCAACTCCTGCGGACACAAATTTCGCGCTCGCTTTGTTGGAGTTTGCCTTTTCTTGGGCTTTGGATCCTTGGGAGGCTGTTTATTCTTCGAGGCCCCCTGGTCTTTGTCCTCATCTGCACCAACTGTTCGCACCACACCCTTTGCCAAGGGAAGTAGATACATGGTGATCCTTGGGTCGGTGCGTAAAGCTTGCATCAATGCATTCATAGGCGCAGGAGTGTCTGTCAAGCGAACATCTTTCATCTGTAAATCTTGCGCCATGAGGTTGAAGAGCTCCTTGTCGGCGCGAACTAATTGCTCGACGGTGATCTTTGCGTAGCCGGCTGGTGCGTCTTTAGCCAATAAAGACAGCAGCTGTTGAATCCACAATTGATGCGTCCCCCACTCGATTAAGCCACACTGATCGAGGGCGATACCACGCCTCATCATCGCCCATTGCCACAAAAGTTCAGACGATGTGTTAGTCTTGACTTCTGGTTCCGCTGGCGACACCTTGAGTGTCTGTTGCTCTATTGATACAAGACTCGATTTATCCTTCATTCCAGCTGCAATCTCGGCTTCTCGTTTCGAGCGCTTGGACGGCGAAATCCAAATGACATTGTTGGAATCGCACATTGAGTTGGCCAGATCGATCAAAGCATGCGATGGTTGGAGTTCACCGGCAATGACAATACCGGTAAGCCGTTTCTGCTGCGAAATCAAACGAGCCTGTTTCTCTGCGTTTGGAATCTTTCTCACACCTTCAAGGCCCGCGTCCGCAGACACACGACTCTTCAGGTTTGCCACAACTATGGTCACTGCCTCAAAATGAACTCTCTTGACCGCCGAGAGTTCCGAAATGCTCAGATTGACTCCTCGATTCAAATTCGTGCAAAAGGTCGAAAACTCATCTTCTGTGGGCGGCTTCTGCGGAGTTCCAATTGCAAAAGCAAGTTTGGAATACGTGTTGATATTTTGCCCAGTGAGTAAACCCTTCAAGGTTCCCGATGGATCAACGCTATCACAGTGCTGGACGAAGGCCGCTGTGGAATCAACTATGGACATGGCAAAGAGTGCACTCAATAAAGTAACGCTAAAGTTTTAAAGTACAAGGTTCATGTACACGTGTGGTTCATTGAACATCCCTATTTTGTCTGTATGTAAAATATGACCATGGTTTGTTGTCTTGCTCGGATCGCCTGTGAGTCTGCACGCCACGTGGCAAGCTCTCTCAACTGCAATCCGTTCACAACAAAGTCCCAGCTCCTTTGGAGCTAAGCAAGGAGGGTTCCCACCCACCCACACCTTAAACCGAAAAATTCATGTTCAGTCGGAACATGTACAGACAGCATGTTTCCCGTCTGAACGTTTCTGTTAAACAATTACAAAATTTATTGCACATAACCTTTTTCTTAAAAGAGAAAAAGGTTTTTCGAAACATGTCAGACACAACAAGACGCGCACAAAATCTCCAAACAACGCTAGCTTTCAAATAAACATTTGAAAGCTTTTTACTGTCGAAGAAATAAGGTGCTTATCACTACACGTAGTGAGACATCACAAGAACGACGTTTTCTTATCCCTTGTACTTCCGAATGCACAGGCATGACAATGAGCAAAGAATCCATGTTCAACGGCATATGCAAAGTATCGAAGTTCCCACAACATACTATTGGTCGGATTTTCAATGACCCAAGCAACTTTGTGGCGATCCAAAAACATGACAAACTCTCCCATACGTTCGTATAGCCGATTTGCGGTGTCTACTTTGGCTTTATCATTTGGACTCATATCTGGGACACCAAGTGGGTATGCACTGCTCTTTTTTTTTTCGACGAGTACGGACGCCGTGTGGGCATGGTGCCCAGGTCATCGTTGAAGGGAGGGAAAGTCAGTCGGATGGTGGAGAAAATAACAAGGACCACAAACAAAAAACCAACAGAACACCAAAAAGGCCCACAGGCCGCGTCTCCACCATCATGTAGTCTTTCCTCTGTGCCAGGTGAAACCGGTGAGACAAGAAAGAGTGTCTAGAAGGGCCTGAATTAACTGGCGAAAAACATTCCGGTGCAGGTCTGTGCTTAAGCAAAGTCGCAAAAAGGCTTCAAAAGGGACTTTACTTCAAAGCGTAAGTGACCAGCGGCCACACCACAGTGCGGCAAAATCAGGGTCACAATGCAAGTCACCACCCCAATACGGTGTATCGCAATGCTTCAAAGTCGATTACATCCCTGACTCACAAGGTGGCGTAGCTATGCAGCATGCCGTGGAAAAGACTTTCCTTGTGGCACAACCCGTTCAACCGGTTGCACTTACAAGTAAAGTGGCGTGCTACCAATCAAGAATCGTAAGCGGCGGCCTCAATCGACGAAAGCCTGCAGAAATAGCGCGAAGAGACCCCCCCGGAGGGGAGGTCGGTTCAGCCCTTATTGGCACCCACAGGTACCAATGGCAAGCAGAGTGAGGTGTCTTCCAGGTCAGCGAGGCACTGCACCATTGCAAAAGGTAGACGGCTTCATGCACGGCCCGTGTGAGACGAGTGAAACAGGTGAAACATGGACAATCCTAGCATGGTATCTGTGCTTCTTTATACCAAATTCGAAATGTCGGACTTCAACAAAGGGAACTAAGGTTCCCTCTGGGCATCCGCCATTACCACTCTCTACCACCCGCCTGTTAGGAACGAAGAGCTAAGACTCTCACTCCTATTGGCTCACTGCAGTTCGAATGGCACAAAGAGCTCGTTTAGTGCTTGCATATCTTACTTGCCGTACTCTGCCGTCAGGCAGCTTGTTCCCGTTTCCAGTCACAGGCTTGCCTCGCCAAGGCGCACGCCCCGACTCCTAACTAGTACTGACAGCATATCGCTTGCGGTAGCCAAGAAAAAGCTTTGTTTTCATCCGAGACCTGGGGCGTACCCCATGTCCGGGATCATGTGCAGCCAAGGTGGCCGTCGCATAGCAAGACAAATGGCGAAAGCGTTCTCTTCTGCACAGACTCCTCGCCATTTATGCCTTCCTGGCATCTTGACAAGCCTCCTAAGGACAGTGCAATCTAGGAAGGCCCAACTTCCTATGTACCTCAGCGAGGGTGGAATGGCAAGCTCCACGAGAGCTGCACAGTTCATGAAGGCTTTGACTCGGATTGTATGGAGTGTCATCGGCAGGAGAACTTCTCTGAGGCTAGTGCAGTGCACAAAGGCGAATTCCGGAATTTCCTCAACTTGGGTGTTGCAAAGGTCTACACTCTTAAGCAGTCGGCAACTGTCGCATGCATGCGCTCCGAGAGTTTTTTTCCACGAGTACGGACGCCGTGTGGGCATGGTGCCCAGGTCATCGTTGAAGGAGGGAAAGTCAGTCGGATGGTGGAGAAAATAACAAGGACCACAAACAAAAAGCCAACAGAACACCAAAAAGGCCCACAGGCCGCGTCTCCACCATCATGTAGTCTTTCCTCTGTGC